CAGAGAATCAGGGTAAATGGAAAGGGGAGGGATCGGAAGGTGGCCGGCGGTCTCGATTGGAAGATCGCCCGAGAGGAGGGGATGGGCGGGGGCAGGGGGGAAGGCGGAGGAGCGCATGCACATGTCCGAGCACGACATCTAGATGGTCCATATCCCGCTGGGCCCACCGCGCCATCATCTGGCGGTGGACGGGGGCGCCTTCACTGCGTTGGCGGGGGCGTCACTCTGGCAACGCTGCGCGGCTTGACAAACGCAGCTGCGCAGCATTCCACGGCGCGCGCTTCGTTCGCGCGTTTTTCTCGGAGGGGGCCCTATCGCGCAGCGGGTGGCGAGGCGATCGACGTCGACGTCGTTCGTCACAACTGCATGTGGATATCAGGCAAAAACAAGCGGTTCTTGAAATTTGAACCTGCCCGACGCCCCCCCAATGGACGACCCCCGCTGTTCGCAGTTTCCATTCGAGGCCCCGCAGGCAGGCGCCCGCATTTCAGGGTGCGTAGATCTCGGGAAGGTCGACATTTCAGGGCCTGCGAGGTCGGGGCCTATATGTGAGGCCCGTCGCGCGGGTCTACATGTCGAAGCCTTCTTCGCAGATCCACGCGCGGCGAGCTGCCTGCGCTTCGCTGGGAATTTGGCGGGGCCGGATTGGCGCGGCGCCGTCTGCCCGCGCGATCGCGGCCCCGCGCAGAAAGGGCGAATTTGCAGGCCAGGGAAATCGCGCATTCGCCTGGCGCGAGCGAGGTGCCAGATCGAGAAGCGTCGCCAGTCCCGCGCAAGCGCTGGCCACGTCGAATACGGACATTCGGGCGCCTCCCTGAGAAAATTTGCCACATCGACGCCGGTGGCAATTGCCGCTATTTCCGCGCTGTGCCAGCCCGCTCCCCGCATCGCGGACATGCCAATTGCTGCGCCCAGAACGTGCGCGGGGCGTTGTCTGCCCGCCACGCGGAGGCCAAACTTCGGCACGCCCCGCGCCAGCCCGCGACTTCAGCGCCGAGGGCGCGCGGCAATGGGAAGGCGACGCAGAAGCGCGCGGCGGCCGCCGTGGATTGTCATAACAAAGTGCTCGAGGACAGCGGCTGACGGCGCGGGCGCGCACAGAGCGGCCCAGTCTGTCAAACACTTGCTTCTCCGATGGGGGACATCAGCAGGATCGCGCGCTGCGGCCCGCGCAGCGACAGAAGCCAGATCAATCAGATTCTCGTTGGTTTCAAACTTCTGCCGCGCGCTTCGACCTCATGCTCTTCGAGCGCTGTAAACGCGGGGTCTGGCCACAAGCCGGTCACCCCGAGACTCCGCGCGCGCCGCGTCGATTGGAATCATTGGGAACGAATGACAAGACAACGCGCGAAGTGACGAGATGTGGACACAGCTCGCCGTCGCGAAGACTACGACGGTCACGCGCGGGGCACCGAGGCCCCGGCGGCGATTGCGAGGCGATCGATCTGCTACTCGTCGACTCGGGAGAGCGCGCGAGAGCTGGGCGCTAGCCAGACCACGCGCGCCCCTCGGATGATGCGCTGACTTGCCGGTTGCCGGCGCAGAGAAAAGCACGCGCGGCATTGCGGGGCCAGGGCGGATTCTGTTGACCAAGCAGATGAGGAGGGGAACGAGAGCATTGAGGCGGAAACGGGCCCCGGCCAAGATCGAATCGGCGTGGGTTACAATTCAGTTCGCGAGAGAATATCCCTACTATAAAGTCACATGAAACAGTCGATTGCCACCGTGGCATAGGCTCCCGGGCATGCGCGAACACGCTGGCAGGGGATAGCTCACGCGGCGCAGATTTGCATGCTGACATGTATCGTTCATACTTTGCTGGCAAAATCTACCGGGGCGCACGGCCGGGCCGCGGATGCAAACGACGCCCCCGCATTGGCAGCGGGCGAGCTCAAGGCGCAGATCGCGAGCTCCAACAGCGGCGAGAGTAGCGACTCTGAAAGGCGCAGCCGCCGAGATGACGATCATGCGCGAGGGGCCCGTCCTCGAGAAAGTTACGCTGGACCTCCACAGCGACGATGTCTCGCCGACTGCGCCCCGGCCTGGAACATGGAAAACGTTGTCCGTGACAGTGCTGCGCAAGCCTGGAGACGCCGCCGACGCCAGGAACTGTCGCCCTATCACGATCACCGCAGTGTTCTACAGGTTGTTCGCCACGCTGTGATAGGGAAGCTTGGAAAAGTAACAGACGATCGGCCAGGTGGGTTACCGGCAGGGCCTCAGCGCTGCCGGGGACATGCCATCAGCGGCAACAGAAATAGGGTCGGCTTCAAGAAAAGATGTTCGATCGCGTGGGCTGCAGCAGTTTATGGACCGCGCTGGGGCGCCATGGTGGCATTGCTGGGTACGCCGATGCATCGCGAGAGCTGCGCGCACCGACCGGTCCAGCAATCCTTGCGAGATTAACAATATTTTCCGCGGCGCGGAACAACCAAATCTTATGTTTTTTCAGCGCGCTCATCGGGGATGTGATGGCCGACGTCAAGACGCAAAGGATGGGGGATCAACATGTTTTTTTCGGGGGGATGTGCGGCAGTTGGGCGGCAGGTGAGTTTTGATCGCCCCAGCGATGTGGTGAATAACAAAATGATCAACGTGGCTTGGAAGGGCTTCGTGCTGCAACGCGGTGAAGTGAGCAGTCGTAGATATCAAGTAAAACCTTGCGCTTCCGGCTGTCTGATAGCAAAGCAGCTCGAGGAAAACATCCGGAGAACGCGACGGAAAATGCTCCGTATGATCGCATGCCGCAGCAGGATAATTCTTGGCTCGGGCACGTTGCGGCCGGATTCGCGATGTTTTTGTTCCTCTGCGCCGTCACGTTCACCTCCTCCTGTGTCGACGCGAGGAGAAGGTCCTGGACTGGAGCCTTGGCAAGATTGGTTCAAGACGGCTACGCGGGATGCTGAAAAGCGTTTGGCGCGCCTGAAGCTGCGCGAGTGGGTTGACGAACGCCGCAAGCCGGCAGGTCATCGGTTTGAGCGCATGCGCGTGGAAGGCGGATCGTGGGCGCACGTTGTCGTCGTTTGGGATCATGAACGCCGCGTTCGGCGACGGGGTTGGCAATTCAAGCGCTGGCCGAGTATTTGGAGAATTGAAGGTGCCGAGACGCCTCCGCGCCGCCCGTTTCGGGTCGGTTTGGCGGCCGAGGTAACGCGGCCTGTCTTGTCTTGTCTTGTCCTGAAGGCTTGGGGCACAATTTGTTCCTTCTCTCCACTTCGCCACGCTTCGCGTATCCCCACCAGCCCGTTCAGAAACATTGTCCACGAGAGTTGACGGGAAAAGGGAGAAACAACCACAGGTAGAGAAACAGGGCGGGCAATCGGGTGAACAGAAAGAGCTCTGGGAGCAAGGCGGCGTTGGAGGGTCTCTTCTGGCCATCTTTGGGGCCCGTTGTGAGCGAAGGAAGGAGGAGTAAGAGGAAGAAAAAGACGACGACGACGACGACCACACCGACGAGGAAGACGAGGGAAAGGAAAAGGAACACGACGATGGCAAGGACGATGAGGAGGAGGAATAGGAGGAGGAAAAGGAGCAGGAAGAGGAGAACAACGAAAACGAGGACAACCCTCAAAATCGCATCTTGGAGCCCTCTTGGAGCTCTTTTGGGGGATTTCGGGTTTCTGTTGAGGCTCCTATGGGGGGTCTTGGGGCTCTCTTGGGGCCGTCTTGGGGGTCCCTTCGGAGCCCTTGAGGGCATGTTGGGCAATTTTGGAGGCCATCGATCAAAAGGGGGGTGTCCTCGATTGTCGCCCTCGCCCGCCCACCCCTCCGAGGCCATTAAGAACGCCCCGGGCGTTCTCGGTCGTTTTGGGGGCGCCTTGGGGCCTCCTGGGCCCTTTTGGGGCTTCTCTTGAGCCATCTGGGGGCCATCGTGAGGCGTCAAAAGCGCATCGGAAGCGAAACGGCGAGAAGGCACAAAACATTGATTTCCTCCAGGTATTTGAAGGCTGGTGACCTTTTGGGGTGGTCCTGAGGGGGGTCCGAGAGCACTTGGAACCGTCTTGTGGCCCTCGTCGGGTTTTGGAAGGTATGTCAGAAGCTATATTTAGCCATCGTGGGCTATCGGTGGCCGTTTATGACGCCATCGTGCAGCATCGTGCGCCCTGTTGGAGCCATCTTGGACGTTCTAACGCGCCGCGGCCCGCCCCGAAAAAAACTCAGGAGGGCGGGGAGGTAAACCTCCCGGGAGGAACACGATTTGTTGGAAGAGGGGAGAAAGATGTCGCTGAATCACCCTCTGGAAGGGGCGTTTCAATTGAAAGCACTCATATGTTAGTGATCGCTTTCTCTTTCATTGTGTTGCCGATCGGCGCAGGCCCTCGCACCTCTCCACCCTCCCCTCCCCATGGAGTAGGTCTTGGATGTTTTGGCGCATGTTTCTAGCAGGTGGGGTCTCCCACAGGACGCACTGTTGCAAACAGTCGCACTAAGCAGATGTCCAGAGCCGGACCCCCCCAACGCAGGCACGCCGAAAAAGAAAAGGTTCACCTACTGCGCTGGGGGATCAACATTATGTATTATTGGAAATGTTTTTTAATCTCATCCGCGTTCCTCTCCTCGAGATGGTTATGTGTTACTTGATTGGTCTTTGTTCGGTCCGCGGAGGAACCTGGGGACCTCCAGAGATCCCATGCTCCTCGTTATCCTCCGTCGCTTCCTCCTCCTCGCTATAGTCCTCTGCCTTCTTCCACGCCTCTTCATCCCCGTCCTCGTTCAGCCTCCTCTTCCTCTGCCCCCCACTCTTTCACCTCCTTCTCCCTCGTTCTCCCCCTTCCCCCCCCACCCATCCCTCGTGTGTCACCCCTCCCTTCTTTACCTCCTCTTCCTCGGTTCGGCCAGCTCGCGTGACACCACGGACAATGTGATCAGCCGCCTCTTCTTCATCGTTCCTTTTCCTCCTCAGGTGGAGATCCTCTTTCTCCTCCTCCTCCTCCTCCTCCTCCTCCCCCTACGCTTCCTGTGGACGGCACTCAGCCGCACCAGCCCCGCCCCCGCGCCAGGGCGAGATGCGCAAGATGGGTGTGGAGGTGCAGAAGGCGTTCTCCTCCTCCCCCCCTCTGCCAGCACGAGCAGCCTTTTTTTTCCACGAATGAATCCCCGTGTGATTCGCACATACACAAACACACACACACACATACACATACACACACACCAACACACACACACACACACACACACCAATTGTGCCCTGAAACGCGTCAGGTAGTTCCACGCACAAGGGAGGATGAGATCCCCAGAGGCCTCCAGAGGTCCTTCGAGGCCTCCTCCGTGAGATCCCAGCAGGTCCCTTGGACACCCACAGATGGTCCCAGAAACTCTGCGAGTCTAGAAGGCCCTCCCCAAACCCAGAATCAAGGTTCGACAACAACTCCACCGAAGTGGTGGACGAAAAGCACAGGAGGAGGACGACGACGACGGCCAGCGAAACCATGACGAATTGCCACCAGAAACTATAGCCATTGCATCAGCCCCTCGACTTCTCTGACAGCCCTTGGAGCCCAAGAGGGTCACGGATATATGCATGGACGAATACAGTAAATCACGTTCATGTTTCGATGTCGGTTGTCACCTTTTGAACAGCTAACCAGGATACGTGGTGTTATTATTTCTACGCGCATTTCAGAATGTCAATCTACATGTCCGCAAGTATTGGAGCGCGCGAGATGGGCCGAGATGGGTGGAGAATGGGAGGAGGGGTAGGAGGATGAGGAGGGAAACAAGGAGGAGGAGGAGGAGGAGGAGGAGGTGGGGCAGGGGGGCAATGAAGCCGACGGCGACCGCGGCGGCAGCGGCGACGGCGGCGGCGATGACGCCAACGCCGACGGAGGCGGCGACCGACGACTGGGCGGCGGTTGCCGCGCCGCGAGGCTGGCAGCAGAGCGCTGGAGCAGACCCTCAGCATCACCTCGGACCGTCTGCAGAATGACCTCGGCGAGGCGATTGGCGCCCCGAGAAGTTCCTCCCTCCTGCGGTCCTCCCTCCCTCCTGCTCATTCCTCCTTTCCTCCCGCCTTAACTCCCTCCTCCTCCTTCTCCTTTCCTCCTTCCTCCTTCTTTCCCTCCCTCCTTCTTCCTCCCTTCCCTCCGAACTCGCACCGGGTCCGTGCTGCACACGTGTCCAGGGTGGTTTCTCTATTAGTCGGTTTTTGAACCTACACCGCGTGCTGGCGGACTGCGCCTCCACAGCGGCGTGGTGCGATGCTGCCACGCTGGAGTCAGAGCCGCAGGTGGACCTCATTCTGCGGGTCCCCACGGATGTGGGCTGGGCCCTGGGGCTGGCCGCCGTGAAAGACGCCGGTGCCGAATCCAAGATTTAGAAAACGCAAGTTGATTTCCGTTCCTTCAGGGGGACGGCGGACGCCATCTTCTTTGCAAGACGAGTGATCGAAGATGCGTGGGCGACCAAAGACGGCGGGACGCTGTTGCTCGCACTGGAGTGGGCCAAAACGTTCGATTCGGTCTCGTCGACGGCGCTGGCGGCCTCTCTGAGAATATCCGGGTGCTCCGACCACTTCGTGCGCGTGGTGGTTTCCATATACCAGGACCGCACTTTCATCGTGAACGACTTTGACGAGACGTCTGCCGAGCATGTCCAAGCGTACGGTATATGCCAAGGCTGCCCGCTCTCCCCTTTCCTCTTCACGATTGTGATGACCACCATCCTCACGGACGCGCGCAAGATGCTGCAGACGGTCTTGGGGGAGCTGCCGGAGGAGAATTTCGTCAGAGAGCTCGTCTACGCAGACGACATTCTGTTGATCGATAGCGATCCCCGCGTCGCGCAGGCGCTCATGAATGCCATCGAAACCTGCAGGACGCATTACGGGCTCAAATTGAAATTGCAACAAGTGTAATTATTGAGGGTAAGAACTGACGCTGATATTATGAACGCTTCTGGCGTCCCCGTCTCGTGCAAGAGCTTAATATGATATTTTTGGGCGCCTGTCTTTCTGCAGATGGCAGACTTGGATCTGAACTGAGCTGCCGGATAGGGGCAGCAGGGCAATAATTTCAAGTTCTGAATTCTGCAGGGGCGCGTTCCACACTTAGCCAGGCGCGCAAGCTGAGAGTCTTCAACGCGTGCATTGTGCCGAATGTGTGATGCAGTTTTTTGTTGGCTGTCAGAACAAATGCGAACGCAGACGGTTAGACGGAGTTCACGCCCGATGCCTCCAGAAAATCTGCCGCGCGTCGTCGGCGCATGTCAGCCGAGAGTCCAATTCTGCATATGTCGCCATGGCCAGACAGAGGCCTTTGAGTGAGAGTCTCGTGAAACGACCGATGCTCTTCACGGGGCAACTCGCAAAACGCCCGGACGAAGACCCTGCGCGACGTGCTGTTTTCGAGTCCGCTGGATTGTGTCCCCGTCCCCCGTCAAGTCCACGCAGGCGAGGGCGCCCAACACAATTTTGGGGCAGCATGGTCGTGCGCAATTGTTTGTCCGTGACCGGCTCAGGGGAAGCCGTGTCTGCATCCTTCTGCTAAGGTGACAGAGCAGCGGTTTCGTGGGAGTCAGCAGTGAAGAGGTGGAGCCCGACGTAAACAGTGCCGATTTTCTGCACTAGTGTTCTGATGTTTCACCCTGCTCGCGCGCCGTCCGGCGCAAGGCTTACGTTCGCTCGCCCGCTCGGGCGCAGCTTTCGTGCACAGGCGAGCCGTCATACTTGCACCGCGCGCGTGCACCAGGGCGTGCCACAAGGGGCAGTTCCTCGAGGCGCCCCCTCGCGGTGCCTCCCACCGCCCCTGTTGCGCTGGCCCGCAAACCCCTCTGGGCTGAGGCGCGCGCAGCGGGGCGCATGCCCCTCGGGGAGCCGCCACTGGCCGTCACCCACCGCAGGCTCGAACCATAGGCCCCACCTCTCCTTCCTCCCATCCTCCCTTCCATCTCCCAAGAAGAGGCCCCTTGCCCATTCTGTCTCTCCTTCTCCCTCCCTTCCTCCATCGTCAGTCGCCTCGCCACCGGACGAAGAAGGAGGGGCAGCAGCAACAACCACAGCATCAACCACACGAACAGCAGTGGCAACAGCAACAACAGTAGCCTCAACCAGAACAAGGTCATTAACATAACAGGAAGAACAGACACTCATTTTAATGCTGGTCGCTCTGACGAGTACGCGTGTCGTTCAACACGTATTTCCCGAACCTTCGAGACCCACCTTCCTCATCGTTGGTTGTATTGCTCTTGGGGGTATAAATTCTTCCCCTGCCACTTCTACTAGGCTCATCCTGTAAACAGGAAGGACAGAAACAAGGGAACGGAAGAAAGCCAGAAGGAAGGGACTGGAGGAAGGGAGGGAGGAGGGAAGGGGGCAAGAGGGAGGGAGGGAGGGGAAATATCGAGGACGAGATGGCTTCGCAACAGGGATGAGCAAGAAGAGATGACAACGAAGTTCCAAGCGATTGCGCGGTTCCTGCGTAAAGTAGGCTGAAAACCCGAGTCAGAGTCCGATTCCAAGCGCGGAGAGAGCGATTCGTCGACGAGAGCGCGATTCCTGGATATGTTGCTCGGATGTATACAACGAGAGCCGGTTCAGTCAACACACGATGACAATGTATGAAGCGGCAGCCGTTGTTGTCGCTGGTGTTGTATACCAGAGGCCAAGGTTCCAGTCTGAAGTGCCTGATTGAAACTTTAGGGTGCGGGCCTCCGGGGGGGGGGGCATTTTACTTGAAACACACACGCCATTGAAGGAGGAGCAACAACACATGCCTTCTAGAACTGAGAATGAAACCAGCAGTGCAAGACTGTTCGCTTTCTCATGCTGGCGCGTAAGTCATCATGTATTCCCCGAAACCCTCGATAACCATTATTTTCGTTGTGGACCGTGCCTTCTCTGGAGTTCTAGGGTTTTTGTCAATTGTAATTGGCGCAGCACTCAAAACAGGAACAATATATCTAGTCAAGGGAAACAAGGAGAGAACGAGGAAGAGTGGGTGGAGGATGGGAGGGAGGGGGAAGGAGGCAAGAGGGAGGGACGGAGAAGATGGAGGACAAGAAGGATTCGCAAAAGGGGTTCAGCAATCTGGGCGAAAGACCCAATTACATGCAGTTGTGAGCACCGCGTTGTGGGTACCGACCGCTTTCGAGGGAGCACTTTTGGGGCCACGAAAGGTGAAAAAGGGTGTGCCGAAACGGGGTGGTGGCGCCACGCAGGCGTTGCCATTGGGGCCTTCGGTGGAGCTCCATATGGGGCCACGAAACGTGCGAGGGGTGCACCGTAACAGGCGGGGTGGTGCCATGCGGACGCTGCCACAAGGGACTTTGGTTGAATTCCCGATGGGGTCACGAAACGTGCGAAGGGTGTACCGAAACGAGTGCGGTGGTGCCATGCGGGCGTTGCAACCGCGGCATTCGGTTGAGCTCTTTGTGGGGCCACGAAACGTTTGAGGGTGTGCCAGAACGGGCGCGGTGGTGCCATGCGGGCGTTGCAATTGGGGCCTTGGGTGGAGCTCTTTGTTTGGGAAGCGTGCGAGGAGTGTGTCGAAACAGGTGCGGTGTGCCATGCGGGCGTTGCAATCGCGGCATTCGGTTGAGGTCCTTGTTGGGCCACGAAACGTGTGAGGGGTGTGCCGAAACGGGTGCGGTGGTGCCTTGCGGGCGCTGCCAGTTGGGCCTCAGGTGGAGCTCCTCATGGGGCCACGAAGCGTGCGAAAGGTGTGCCGAATTAGGCGCGGTGGTGCCATGCGGGCGTTGCAACTGGGGTATTCGGTTGAGCTCATTGTGAGGCCACGAAAGTGTGAGGGGTGTGCAGTAACAGAGACATGCGGATGGCACAGGCGATGTGGCAGGAGGGAGGAGGAGAGAAGGGGAGGAGGAGGAGGAGGAGGAGGAGGAGGAGGAGGAGGAGGAGGAGATGAGAGGAGGACGACGCGGGGCGCTATTTCTTCAAAACGAGAGCCCAGCACCACAGGATGGTTGGGAACAAGAAGAGATGGCAAGGAAGTCTCAGGCGACTGGACGGTTCTTGAGCAAATGATGAAGTCCCGAGCAAGAGTGCGATTCCAGAGAGATGCAAGAGCGATTCGTGAACACATGGTGCGGAAGTCTGAGTCGAAAGCGCGACCCCTGCATAGACTGCAAAGAACTCCAGTGCGGGAGCGCAATTTTTTATACATTGCAAAATGAGACGCGGGGGCCGCAGTTGTGGTAAACCGGGGGCCAAGAACACAGTCTCAAGCGCAATCTTGTTCCTTTAGTAAAAACCTAGATGAGAGCTCCAGGAAGGGGCACTTTAATTAAAAAACACAAGATGCGCCCGATGGGGGATCAACCATAATGTCTGGAACATAGGACTCAACGAAAACAGCGACGACAATCATTTTAAGACTGTTCGTCCTTATCTGCTCGCATGCCATCCAAACATGTATCCCAAACCCTCGGCACCCGCCTTCTTCGTCTTCGATCGTACGTATCCCATTGGGGGAAACCGTCTTTACTTTCAGCGTGTAGTCGGTGTTGCCCTTAAGTCAGGGGGGGTGCACAGTCTGCTGAATGTCGTCCCTGCCGTGCTCGCTCGAAGTGCTTTGCGGACGTGGCTTCGGGCCCTGGCAGACGAGGAGGCTGCCGAACAAACCATGAGCCTTCGGATGAATAGGGCACAGTGCTTGCCCATAGAAAAGGATCTGGTGTACCAGGGGCAGATTAGGAACAGCGGTGGACACCTCGCACACGAGTTGCAGCGGAAGAGTTGTAGTGGAGGAGTTGAAAGCCATTATGTTTGGGACCCTTGGTGGCTCATCCATGAGAGGTGGCCGTGATGTTTTGCAGTATGCAGTGTGCAGTGTGCCGCATCCGCTTCCATTCCCCGCCCTGCTCTTTATTTCCTGACTCTTCTCCCTCTGCCGTCGGTCGTTTAGGTTCACAGGTATGCAGCCAGTCACGGACGCTCAACCGCCTGCAGATGGCCCCAGAGTGTGAACCCAGTCCATGTTGAAGAGATCATTTAGCTTTCTCTGTCCGCGCTGCTGCTGCTGCCGATCATGCTGAGCTGAAGGTTTAGACGTCGAGCATTTCGCCCACACCCACAGGGGGAAAGAAAAAGATGGAGCACGAGAGAGATTTGCAGGAAGGGAGTTGGGAACACGAGATGAAGCGGCAAAACCAGGCGTACGGGCCGGACGGGCTGACCCAGACGGGCGGGTTGGGCGGGCGGGCCCAGACGGCCGGGTCGACGGGCGGGCCGCTGAAGCGTCAGTCTTGCATAAATCGCGAGGAAGTTTGGAGCGAGAGCGCGGTTTCCAAGAAATCGTGAGAAAGTCCAGAGCAATAGCGTGATTATTGAGTGTCCAGGGCGCGGCGTATCAATAGATTGCAAAACAGTCCCAGGCCAGAGCGCGATGACTGCATGCATTCCCGCGAGTCGCAATACATTGTGATGAAATCTTCCTCCACCCTCCTTCTCCACCTTCTTTCCATTCCTCCTCCATCATCCCCTCCGCTTATAACATGCTTCTTCCCTGTCGCACCCCGAGACAGGTCGGTAAAGGTGGCAGGGCGCTTCGTTTGAGGTTTTTTCACCCCGTAGAATCTTAAACTTGAAACTTGCAGCATCCTCACGGGTGGAGGGTGGACAGTTTTCAACAGGCGGTTGCCGCCGTAGCGCCGCGCATATTCGATTCAAAACGATGCCACCATTTCATTGATGGAAGGCGGGTCGTTTTCAACATGTGGTTCCCGCCGTCGTTTTGCGCTTGCACAAATTTCACGGATGGAATGCGGCTCTTTTTCAAAATGTGGGCCTCGCTTTCGCGCTTGCACTTTCGTTTTAAAAGTGCGCAAGAGTCTCGCGAATAGAGGGCTGTTCTTATTTAAGTGTGGTTATCGTTTCAGCGTCGCGCACATGTGTTTCAAATGTTGAAACAGTTTCAAAGGTTCGCACGGTGGAAGTCCCAGAAATGATGTTTTGGCACGTTTTCAGGCTGTCAGGGTCCACCAATCACGTTGATTGGTGCAGGGCGAACGCACTTCGGAGCCTTGTCACGGCCACCAGCGACAACGCCGCCCGCATCGTCGATGTCCACGAGTGGTACCAAAACGATTTCCTTTTTTCGCTTGAGGACGCCGTCGTTCGGATGCACGGAGCGGCCGCGGGTGCTCACGTCCTGCTGGACATCCAGCACCCCGAGCACCCGTGGGTGGGGCGGCAGGCGACGGCGGCGCGACTGCCCCGATTGGACTACACCCTTGCAGCCTCAGCACATTTCGGGCGCAATCTACACCGATGGCGAGTTCGATTGCCGCCGGGGCACCGGGTGCCACGATGGATTCGCGTCACCCAGACCATCTTGGACCTCGTCGCGCCGAGAGTCATGGCAATGGCTGGGTGACCGAACGCTGATTTCAAGGCCGCTCCTCGCGCATCAGGGGCTGCGCCGGAAAGGACGCGATTGAACATTACGCGATCTGCCGTTCCTACCATGATTGCTGCCCACGATACCTGGGCCTCCGGCGCCCGTCTATGGAGCACGCTCCGGAGGACTTCGTCGGCATCGCCCGGTCCTCGCTGGCTTCGTGGGGCAACCCGTCGTCGACGGAGGCGGAGAAGAGCGCTTTGAGGGCGATTTCCATCCACTCCTTGCACACGACGCAAGCGCAGGTCCGCCACGGATTTCGGGAGGCCGAGGCCGCGAACGTTTCCCGAGGTCCACGGAGCTGATGTTGAGGGTTTTCGCCGCGCGGGGCGCGCGGACACCTAGAGGCCGACTCTCAGCGTGTTCTGTCTCAGCTTGCCTGGTTATATCCCCTTTTCCTTCCTCGGCCTCCGCCTCCTTGGCCTCCTCCCCTCTTTTCCTCTCCCTCCTGTGTCCGCGTTCCGGCTTACCCGAACGCGCATTGTCGCGGGCACTCCCGATGAGGCGGCGCGCCGAGTCCGTGATATGCAAGTCGTTGCACGATGTTCCGCTCGTCTCTGTCCCGGCCGCGTGGCCGATAGGTTATGGGCGCGGCAGTTCCCCCTCATCGTCTCCTCCTCTTCCCCTTCCTCTTCCTATGGTTGCCTTTGCAGCGTAGCCGCTACGACGGTCGCGAGTGGGCTGACCACGCCCCGCGCCCGGGGGCTAATGTCAGGCGCCGCTGGTCTTCAGGACCCGTTGGGTCGCACGCGGCTGGAATTCGGCTGGCGGTTTTTCGCTCCGAATACGCGCATCCCCGGCCGCCAGGAACACAGCAGGGCGGGGCCCAACGCCGAAGCGACGACTGGCGGCGCGAGTGGTGAGGCAGCATCGCAGGCTGACCCTCGGGGCCTCTGTCGGTGGTGGTGGGATCTTCGCGAAATGTGATACAGCAGGCTGCATGTTCAAACTCGGTAGCTTCCCCTTTCCTCCCGGTTTTCCTTCTGGAGGCCGAGCGCTGGCTCACTATGCTGGGGTGGGCCCGTTGTCTGCCTCCTCTGATTGCTCCTCCCTCCCTTGCTCCAGCTCGCGTTTACCAGCGGTCGCGCAGCGGCCGCACTCCCTAGGACAGGCGGGTGGAGGATACTGTACTTGATCGTGCCACGTCCGTCTGCACGATTATCGAATGTTCCTTTTTTGCCTTGGTGGCGGGATCGCCTCGGCTCTTGGCGTTTTCCCTTTCCTGTTCCCTCCTCTCCTGTCTCATGTTGTGTTGGATGTATTGGTTCGGCCGACTAGGCCATTCAGTAAAGGGACTGCCGCGCAGCGCCCTGGCAGGCCAGGAAAAGATACGCTGCAAGGCAAATCCGTACCATTGGCAATATGGTTTCTCTCCCTCCTCCTTTCGTCCTCCATTTCCTTCTTTTGTTTTTGCTTCTCCTGTTTCTCCTTTCCTCCTTTCGTTCTGGCGTACAACCGCCCGAATTTCCGCCCCGAGTTTCGGCCACGCCCGCAGGACACATTTTCTGATGTCATCGGTTGTTAGCCCTTCATTACCATTGCTGCGCGAAAAAAGTCACGTTGATTCGTGTTGTTGAAGTTTTACGAATGGTGTTATGGCACGTTTCGTGACCGCCAGAACGCAATATTGACGTTGCTTCGCGGCGTTCAGCGTCAAGGAATGGTAATGTGGCGCGATCAAATATCGCCCGATGGATGTATTCCATTGGACCGCCTCCCGCAATGCAAGTATATTGATGCTGGCAGCTCTGAAGACGAAACTTGGATGGTTAATGCGCTTCGGGTTTGCACAGACTTTGTTTTTCGTGTTTGTCGTTTCTCCTTTCGCGGGGCCTAGGTCAGGTCACGATTGGCCGGTTGATTCTCGTGTTGGTGAGTTCTTCCACAGCCCGCGCTGCTTCCTGTAAGGCGAGCGCCTCCGCTGTAACAGAAGAGCCTGGATCGTTGATGAACGTGCAGGCTACAATGAACAAGCGGATGCATTCCATCGGACCGCGGCGCGTCACAGCCTCCACGCACCATGCGGGTGCCGAACACGACCTTGCTCGAATGCCGCCGTCGCCGTGAATCAGAATATTGGCTTCGCTCAGATCTAGATGCCCGGTTGGAAATACTTGATACCAAGATTTTCTTTCGTCCACTGCGCGGTTAACCAAATAATTTGTTTTGTTGTTCCAATCACGTTTGTGCCACAAGACCATGTCATCATCATTTTCCGAAGACGGATCGTTCGAGCGATGACGGGTCCGACGGAGGGCGCTGCCAGCGCGGTGGTTCTTCGGGTTCTTCCTCCTCCCCCCTTCCCTTCCTCCCTTCATTCCGTCCCTCCCCTTCCCAATCGAGAAGGAAGGACGGGGAGGAAAAGGAGGATGAGAAGGAGAAGGGGGAGGAGGGAAAAGGACGAGGACGAGGAGGACAGGGAGGACAAGGAGGGAAGGCGGAGAAACATTTGGAAAAGGACGAGGGCAACAGCTAGAGGAATTCTAGACGTTTCGCGTCCGTAGCCCCTCCGGCTCAAGCACTCTGGCTCAAGCCACGCCGGCTCGAGCCCGCCCCTGACTCAGGTCGGCGCGTGCTCGGGCCCGCGCGCGATGGAGACGCCGGCCGCCCGGCGCCGCCGGCAGAGGGCCGCGGCCGCCGCTCGCGCCGCCGGCCCCTCCGCTGCCGGCGCCGTGGCCGCGCGGTCTGCCGCGGGCCTCGCTCGGCGCAGGGCGGGCCCGCCGCGGCCTCCGCCGTGGCCGCTGCCGCGGACGCCGACGCGCAAGCCGCCGCGGCCGCTGGCGCCGCAGGCGCCGCGAGCGCTGTGGCCGTGGCCGCGGCTGCTGGCGCCGCGGTCGCCGCCGGCGCTGCCAGTGCTGTGGCCGCCGCCGGCGCCGCCGGCGCTGCGGCGGCCGCAGGCGCCTTTGGTGCCGCTTGCGCCGTTGCTGCTGCCGCTGTCGCGGTGCGCGCTGCGGCCGCCACGGGCGCCGCTGGCGCCACCGGCGCCGCGTGCGCCAGGGACCGCGCGGGCGCCGCCGCGCACGCTGCCGGCGCTTGGTGCGCCGCCGGCGCCGCGGGCGCTGCCGCCTAGGCCGCCGCCGCGGCGGCTGCCGCAGGCCTGTAGGCCGCGGCGGCCGCGGCGGCCGCCCTCTCCCGCGCGGCGGCCGCCGCCGCCGCTGCGGCGACGGTGCCGGGCGAGCCGACTGGCCTGGCACTGGGCTGCCAGCCCAACGGCCAGCCCCACTGCCAGCCCCACGGCCAGCCCCGCGGCTTACCCCACGGCCAGCCCCATTGCCAGCCCCGCGGCCAGCCCCACGGCCAGCCCCACGGCCAGCCCGACTGCCAGCCTTACGGTCAGCCCCGCGGCAAGCCCGACGGCCAGCCCCGCGGCCAGCCCCGCGGCCTGCCCGGCAATCAGCCCCACGGTCAGCCTGAGTGCCAGCCCCGTTGCCAGCCCGACGGCCAGACCGACGGCCAGCCCCGCGGCCAGCCCGACTGCCAGCCTGACGGCCGTCCTCTTGTCGACACTCCTCCTGGACCGCCTGGTTTGCGCGGCTGTCCAACAAAGATGCCCAGCGGCATGACCAGACCCAGCGCACCAACGGGAGGGCTGGCGCCCCGCCCGCGCAGGGCGTTTCCCCTGAGACTGACTTTTCTCTTCCCCCCTGCCCATGACTCCTCGAGATGCGACGGCTTGTCGCCTACACAGGGAAGAGTGCGAAAAGGGTCGCCGCCACCGGGAAAAGCGCGGAGATAGTGGCGAATCGCAGGAGGAGGAGCACGAAGAAGACAGGGATAACCTTGCCGACCGGCCCACACAACCCACTGGCAACGCTACCTCTTGGCGCACCCAACCGCCTCGGATCCCAACGGACTCTGCGACGGTCAGTCGCCGCCACCGGGACGAATGCGCTGATAGTCGTGAGTCGCAGGGTGAGGGGCAGAGGGAAGACAGAGAGGACTTTGCCGATCGTCCAACGCAACCCGCTGGCAACACGACCCCTGGGAACACCCAGCCGCCTCGGATTCCAACAGACTCTGCGATGGTCGTTCACCTACACCGGGAAGATTGCGAAATGGGTCGCGACCCACAGCAGAAGGGGCAGGGAGAAGACAGAGAGGACCTTGCCGACCGTCCAACACAACCCACTGGCAACACGACCTTTGGGAACACCCAGCCGCCTCGGGTTCCAATAGCCTCTGCGACGGTCAGTCGATTCCACCGGGAAGAGTGCGAAGATAGTCGCGAGTCGCAGGGTGAAGGGCAGGGAGAAGACAGAGATAACCTTGTTGTCCGTCCAAGACAACCCACGGGCAACACGACCTCTGGGAATACCCAGCCGCCTCGGATTCCAAGGGGTTCTGCGATGGCGATTCACTTACACCGGGAAGAGTGCGAAGCGGGCCGCGAGCCGCAGGAGAAGGGGCAGGGAAAAGACAGAGAGGACCTTCCGACCGTCCAACACAACCCACTGGCGACACGACCCTTGGGAACACCCACTCGCTTCGGATTCCAACAGATTCCGCGACGGTCAGTCGCCTCCACTGGGACGAGCTTGAAGATAGTCGCGAGTCGCTTGTGGGAGCGGAGCCCACCGCTGGGGAGGAGCTTAGTTGGCACAGTCAGGGTTGGCATAGCCAGGGTTGGCACAGTCATGGTTGGCATAGCCTGCGTGGTCGGATATGGCACAGCCACGATTGGCATAGTCAGCAACAACTGCTCGCGTAAATGTGATACCGTTCTCCTCCTCTCCTCCCACACCGCGTGCCTGGCGTGCACTTCCTTCCCTCCTGCATCCTAACGCTGCAGCGGTTAGCTGCCGCACCGGGGTGCCTACCGTGCCTGGCGCGCACTTCCCCTCTTCTCCCTTGTTTTACCGGGTTTATCCCACGCGGCTGAGGTTGCCGCCGATATCGTTGTCTGATGGTGCTTTGAGTGTGAATTCCATGCATTGATCACACTGGGAATGGGCGGTCAGGTGGCATCTGGCCTGCTCCTGGCTGGTGTCGGCCTTCCACTGGTGACCGGAAGGGTTCAGTGTGGTCTCGCTACGGATGTCATGCAAGGATCACACTGGGAATGGGCGGTCAGGTGGCGCCTGGCCTGCTTCTGGCTGGTGTCGGCCTCCACTGGTGACCGCAAGGGCTACGCTGCCGACCTCCACGGTGCAGGGACTTCGGCATGTGTGGCTCTGTGCGCCCGTCGGCTGCTTTCTCCTGCAAGGACTTCGCTTTCGACATGTGCCACTGCTGTACACACAAGAGGTACTTCCGTTTGCAGTCCTACGTGTGACGAGGTTGCCATTCGACACGATGCAGTTGTGTCGCCTACGCCACGGACGTCGTCCGGTTGTGCCTGTCGGTCCCGCTCGTCTCTGACGGTGCCTCGTGCCGACTCACACCGAGTGATTGACCTCTGCGTGTTTACGGTCGCGCCGCCGCGCCATTTTGGCGACGTTTACTTCCTGGTCGCCACTGGGATCTCCACCCCACCGGGTTGGGAGTTTCGTGTCGGGCTCTTCTTCTGAGTGGCTGCCCGCGCGCTCGCTTCGCTTGCCTCTCTTTTCTTGCTGCCGAGTCGCGGCCCGACTAGTGTCCGGACGGTTTTCGACCTGCTTCGCGAGCCCGCATACCAAAAAGGCCAAAAAGTAACCCCACCAGCCCATCCAGAAACGATGCCCAGAGGAATTGCCTCGATCAGGGAAATGAGCAGCACACAGAGGAAGGGTCCCACAGTGGAGGCCTCTTGGGGCGTCCTGGGTGCCTCTGGGAGTTTCTTGGGGGTCTCTTGGGAGCATCCTGCAGGTCTCTTAGGCGCCTGTTGGGGCCTCCTGGGCGCCTCTTGGGGCCCTCTTGAAGCGTTCGTGGGAGCATTGGGAACGCTCTCGGGGCGATTTTGGGCGGACATCGATGAAACAAGAAGTGGGCATTAATTAGCGTTGCCCTTCGGGAGCCCAAACAATCGCCTCTTGCGGCGCTTTTGGGGCGGTCTGAGGCGCCCATGAGGCCGTATTGGTGCTTTCTGGAGCCTCTCTTGGAGCTTTGTTGGGCCATCCGGGGCCATCTTGACGCTTCGGATAGCCATCGGAAGCGAAACGGCGACAAAGCCCAACACGCAAAATGTCCTAAGGAGTTGGGGCAGCTTGGAACACCGTGGGAGCCGTTATGAGACATCTTGGGACATATTGAGCCATCTTGGAGATCATCTTGGGCTCTCCCAGGCGTTCTTGGAGTCATCTTAATCAGTGCCCCCCCAAGCGGCCAATATGTGGCGAAAATCTTCTGGTGAAATCAACGATTTGGCACTATCGCCGGGAACTCGTGGGTGCCTTTGGGGGGTCTCTTGGGTCCTCTTGGGGGTCTCTTGGGGCTTCCTGGCCACCTCTTGGGGCCCTCTCGGGGCACCCTTGGGAGCCGTGGGGGCCATCTCTGGGCCATCTTGGGTGAGATCGATCACAGGAGGGGGGGTACAATTACAGTCCCCCCCTTCAGGAGGCCAAAATGGGGCCAAAACCAAAGTAAAACCAATGATGTTGGCTTTCTCGCCGAGGCCGTTTTGGAAGCTCCGACACCTCGCGAAACCCCCTGTCCAGGTCCAGGGGAGGGGGTAACGGGAGGGGTACACCCCTCCCCGGAGGGGAAGAAGGAGGGGTGGAAGAGGAAATTCTCTAAACCACCGACGCCCAGAGGGCTGGTGTGACTAGAGGACTAGAGGAGGAGAGGGGGTAAGAGGAGGAAGGGGGAGGGGTGGGTGGCGCCTCGCTGCGCGACTGGGCACTGCGCCCCCAAGTGGTGACCTCGCGCGGGGATGCTGCAGCTGCGTCGCATCGGCGGGGGCCTCGCTCTGCGACAAGTGGGGGGTCTCGCTCCGCGACGGGGGTGAGCCTTGCTGGGCGGCTGGGCGCCCGCGCGGGGGTTGAAGTCTCTCGCTGGGAAGCTGCGTCGCATAGGTGTGGGTGTCGCTCGATCCTTTCCGCCAGCGCAGTCACTCTGCCTATCCGCCGACGCAAAAAAGTGGGTGTCGCTCCGTGCCAGGTGGCGTTTCGAGGCACTGGACGACGAAGTTCCCTGCGAAGTGTGCACGACGAAATCCTCGAGGATATGTGCGAGTCCTTCGGGTTTCCGAAGACATTCGCAGGATCCCAGTACGAGCGAAAGGATATGTCGAGCATTCATCACGAGTCTATGGAATTGCTTCCTAGGGTGTAGTGAATATGTCCGATTCGAGATGATTCCCACGCAAAATAGAAATGGCTACATGATTCTCTTGGAATTCTTACATTTGGAATCGGCAGGGCTGATGAAAAACTCGTGTTCAGGAATCCGTGGGAGTCCGTCGCATTCCTACAGAAGTCTTGAGGGATCCTGCAGAAATCGCCTGGATATCCGTAGGATTCCTGCGGCAACAGTTTAGATTGTGGAGAACATCCGCAGGATTCTTGAGGACATCGTAGCGATATCCTTGATTGAGGTATTTGGGGAAATAGTTTGCAAATCCTGAGAGAGTTCCCCAGGGCTCCTGAGGAATACCACAGTGGGAGGGCCCCTCGGAGGCCCTCGTCCGCCGGGCGCAGGAGCAGGAAACCCAGCTCAGGTGCTGGCTTGCCGGGCAGGGGATGCGGGGGACGTTGGGCGGCGATGGATCTTTGTGCATGGTACAATCGAAATGGG